AAATTTTACAGGTTATAGTACTCGAGCAAATGAACAACTTTCATCAAGGAAGTTTTCTGATATGAGCTCCCAAATATGACTTATGAATTGATGCACAGTACCCACGAGTTTGAATTTTGAAGAGAGAAGAAAGAGTTGAAGGAGAAGAAGAAAAATGAGGGGCACGGGTGTGCTGAGATAAAGAAGAAAAAAAAAACGTGTGAGATCACCCCATGCCAAAAAAAAAAAAATAGAGACAACATGCCAAGCAATTTGCCAAACTAACATGCCATCACCTCTTACTGAAGAATGAATGGGTTACTGGCTTCCCAAGGCAGACCAACACAACTCACATCCAGAGAGCAAGCTTTATCTCTCATCCCTGAAGCCCTGCAATTTCGTGCCATATTCCTCCATCTCCTCCCATTTTCTCTTTTAGCAAGCTTTTCCAAAGTCTGATATAGCTTTTGTCAGGCTGCTGAAAAATTATTCAACACACCCATTGTCCTCCCACCTCTAGAACTCATAAATCTCTCTAGAATCATAGTCACAAACACCATAGCCTTCAAAATCTTAAGCTTTTCTTTCCTTAGCCATGCTCTTTGAAAACCCATTTATTTGACTGCTATAAGCATCCCAACCATCATAGCCAAATAATCAAACCACCATAGCCATAGCTTCAAACAATAAGTTATCAACACCCAAACTCAAGCATATCAAACACCAAGCCAAGCACAAGTATTCGCATTTGCTAAACTTGTGGGTCTTTAGCTCCCACACTCCAAGCTCTCATGCCAAGCTCATATAATCTTATATCAATATGAACAAGTCATCTTCAACTCTTTGTCAAGCTGCCGGAAACATCAGCACAAAACACGCAGCCGTTGGAAGAAGAACAAAGTATTCCCTCGGGACTTGCTTCTCCCTCGGGATACTTTGGGCCTAGTCCTCGCTAACTCAGAAAAAAGGGACAACGAAGGCTTGATCCACCACTCTACGGTGGTCCAAGAATTAACAAGCTTGGACGAGCCTGCCGACGGAAAAAGACCCCAACATAAATGGCAACTCTACTGGGTAGGACGTGTATATTTGGTATTGGCATATAGCTTATGGAGGGGGGCTAATTTGGCTAATTTGTTGGAAACATCAGCAAGTCATCTTCAACTCTTCTTCAAGCTGCCAGAAATATCAGCAAGTCATCTTTAACTCTTCGTCAAGCTGTCAGAAACATCAGCACCAAACACGCAGCCGCTGGAAGAAGAACAGAGTACTCCCCTGGGACTTGCTTCTCCCTCGAGATGCTTTGGGCTTAGTCCTTGCAAAAGAAGAAAATTTAGCACACAACCCCATCAAAATAATGGCCTTAAGTGATGGTGGTGTTGTTGCTTATCTTCTTAAGAAATATGATTGTTGCCAAATTGACAATGAGGTTTAGTGTGTCGTAGGAATTTCTCTTGCGTGTTTTGTTTTGGAATTTTGATCAAACTTTTCAAATGGGTGCCGTTGCTTGTTTGATAGGGTGGACTAGACTTGCAATCGAGACATAATATGGACATAATTAGGGGTGGGCATCAATCCGGCCGATCCAGTTACACCGGCCGAACCGATTATATTGGTTTGGTTTGGTTTGGGTTTGACCAAAAAAAAAGTCAACAGTTTCAAAAACCGATCCGAACCGGTTTGGTTTGGTTCGACTGCGGTTTGAGCATTTTGTAAACTGTCCTAAACCGAACCGGACTGATTAAAAATAAATTTATTATTTGTTAAATATATTTTACATGTGGCAAGGCTTGAGTGGTTATTTGTAATTGTTATCATGCACCATACCGCACATGATTGGACTCCAAAAGCCAAAACTAAAACTCACGGATATGTTTCTCTCTACCTTTCCCTCACATTTCTCTCATCCTATCCTTCATTTCCTAACCCTAGCCGCACACAACACAACACTCACTACTCTCATCTCATCTCATCATTCCTCTCCATCTTCATCACCTTTGGCAGACAATGTCATCACCTTTGGCCTCTTCATCATCTCCCCAGTGTAACCCCTCTCTCTCTCTCTCTCTCTCTCTCTCTCTCTGTATACCTGATGGTTTTATAAATATGGGTCTTTATTTCGTCTTTTTTCTAGTGGGTTCTACAATGGTGATGATGATGATGTGTGGGTCTTCATTTCGTCTTTTCTCTCTCTCTGTAAATTAATGGGTCTTCAATTAGATTGGGAGAGGGATAGGTGGGTTCTGCGATGGTGATGATGATGTGTGGGTGCAATGGGGTGAGGTGGGTGGGATTTGCAGGAAGTTAGAAGATGGGTATTTGATTCGTCCAAAAACAATAGATGGGTATTTGATTAATATATATATATGTGGGTATTAATATATATAGATGGGTATTTGATTAATATATATATATATATATGGGTATTTGATTCGTCCAAAAACAATAGATGGGTATTTGATTAATAGATGGGTATTTCATTTCGTCTTTTCTTTCTATTTTAATTTTTTTAGAAGACAACTTTTTTTATACATTATTCTATTTTTAAAAGATTATTCCTTTTTTTTCTTAATATCTTTACATTTTGATGTTTTTTGATATTTTGATGAAAAATCTGTGATTGTGTTTTTTATATAGGTGTTGCTTCTAGTAATTCATCAGCTATGGATGAATCTGCAGAAGAGGTTCAAGCCTCTCAAGCTCACGCAGGTACTTCCATTTAAAAAAACATGTCTTTCATTAGTCTTTTAAATATTATATTAGCATATCTGTAAGTAAAGTAAGATGTTTTCTGTGGCAACAGGGGTTGAAGGCTCTCAAACTCAGATTGGTGGTGATAATGATCTTCCACCTTTACCTCCCTTGAAAAAGAGAAAACCAACTAGGAAGCCAAGTGAAGTGTGGAATCACTTCGAGAAATTTGACACTGGTAATCCTTCTGAACCAATTAGAGTTAGATGCAAGTATTGTAAAATTGCTTATTACAAGTATGATCCGGCAAATTGTGGGACATCAAGTTTGAGGACTCATATAAATTTTTTATGTCAGAAATATCCATATAGAGTGCCTGGTTCAAAACAGAAGGTTCTAACTTTTGAAAAGGACCATTCTGGAGGCTTTACTACTATTAACACTCACTACTCTCATCTCATCTCATCATTCCTCTCCATCTTCATCACCTTTGGCAGACAATGTCATCACCTTTGGCCTCTTCATCATCTCCCCAGTGTAACCCCTCTCTCTCTCTCTCTCTCTCTCTCTCTCTGTATACCTGATGGTTTTATAAATATGGGTCTTTATTTCGTCTTTTTTCTAGTGGGTTCTACAATGGTGATGATGATGATGTGTGGGTCTTCATTTCGTCTTTTCTCTCTCTTTGTAAATTAATGGGTCTTCAATTAGATTGGGAGAGGGATACGTGGGTTCTGCGATGATGATGATGATGTGTGGGTGCAATTAGGTGGGGTAGGTGGGGTTTGCAGGAAGTTAAAAGAGAATATGGGTATTTGATTGATATATTATATATTCTATTTTAATTCTTTTAGAAGACAACTATTTTTAACGGATTATTCCTTTTTTTTTCTTAATGTCTTTACATTTTGATGTTTTGATATTTTAATGAAAAATCTGTGATTGTGTTTTTTATATAGGTGTTGCTTCTAATAATTCATTAGCTATGGATGAATCTGCAGAAGAGGTTCAAGCCTCTCAAGCTCACGCAGGTACTTCCATTTAAAAAACCATGTCTTTCATTAGTCTTTTAAATATTATATTAGCATATCTGTAAGTAAAGTAAGATGTTTTCTATGGCAGCAGGGATTGAAAGCTCTCAATCTCAGACTGGTGGTGATAATGATCTTCCACCTTTACCTCCCTTGAAAAAGAGAAAACCAACTAGGAAGCCAAGTGAAGTGTGGAATCACTTCGAAAAATTTGACACTGGTAATTCTTCTGAACCAATTAGAGTTAGATGCAAATATTGTAAAACTGCTGATTACAAGTATGATCCGGCAAATATTGTAAAAATGTGAACCAATTCTTATTGGTAGCTGTGGTACTTGATCCTAGGTATAAGTTGGACAATTTATCTATGCATATTGCTGAATTGTATGTGGAAGATGATTGTTACGTTGTCACGAAA